GTACTTACTCATAATCCACACAATAAATCAACAAAATGTCTTTCCATATCCCATTCACAATTCATGCATTTCCAACTTCATACCAAATGCAGATAATGAATAAACACCCATACGCCATATCACAATAGCCATAGGAATAAACACCCATACGCCATATCACATTGCCATATCATTTCCCATAAATTCCCATATTATACCGGAGCCTCCTCATGACCCCGATATGTATTCGGGCCGCTTCATGACCCGAATACTGTGATTATGTTGAAGTAGATCTAAGATTAGAATCTACTCACCGTTTTATCTTCACTCGGCTATACCCTTGCCTTTGGATGAGCCCCCGCCTTGCTCCTTGTCTTTATATACAAATTTTCCGGGTTATTCAAGCACCAAGATATATATACAGTCATCAAAATCATGGTTGTGCTCATGCATGTCGATAAGGCCACTAGGAAAGTCATATGACCGCACTCTTTACCCTGCTTCATCATTTCGGTCATTTCTCCCTTGATACTTAACCAAATCAGTTGATTATTGTTGATACTGAAACTAGATTCATAGGGATACAACATATCCAAATTCCAGACCATTTGGATCAGTATTTTGAGCCCAGAAATCATTTTAAATTGACGTTTCGAAACTGTCAGCTACTTTCTTCTCACTTCAATCCAACTCCCCTAGTTCTAACAATATTTCCTGACCACTTCGAACTCAAAACGAAGATCCGAACGGTCAACTCAAAGAAACTTATATAATTAACATTATACCAAATTTCTAGAAAGATCCAACAGCTACTTCGTACAAGATATTACCTCTAATCTGCTGCCCTGCCACAGGAAAGCAATGTCGCACCCCTTCTGTCCAGCGACGATCCTAGATGAACCAGAGATCATAACAATGATCATAACGGTCCAATCGTAGAAAAGGACATATAAAATAAAACCTCCAAATATCAGAACGATCCAACGGCTCAAGTGTCCAGAATCATCCTTCCCACAAGCTGTCCTGCTGCGGGACGAAAATTGGCAGCACCCCTTGTTTCCCCTCTTCTTTCTTTCCTTGATATCCTTTTCTCTCTATCTATCTACCACTTGTTTCTGAAAAGGGGATGGTGGTTTTGAGGGGTGAAAGCAGGTGGAAGTGCATCTATTGGCGGTGCTTTATGCATCTACTGGATATACCCGGGTGAGTGCATGACTTGGCAACTTAAAGGCTAAAAGGCACGAAGTCTAGCTAACCCTGTGTGTGTATGGATGGGTGTACTAGTGTGTGTGTGTGTGATATTGACTACTGAATTGTGCATGGTTACATGTCTGGAATGCCTTAGCAAAGTGGATACTGAAATTGGTTATCTCTGGAAACTAAGATATTAAGCACGGGGCTCGACTTCACCAGATATTATGTTTGTATTGATATAATATTGTTGATAGGTTAGCTTTTACTCATTGAGGTGACGTCTCACCCCCGTCAAAATTATTTCCCATATTAGAAGTGTTGGACTAGAAGTGAAGGAAACTCAATAAGGCTCAGCTCGGCATCAATGAGGTGGGATGGTGGACTCAGACTCCGACATGACTTGTTTATAGTATTTTGAGAGAAGATGGTCTTCTCTACTGTCATGTGTTTTGAAGTATTACAAGTTTATGTAAATTATGGTTTGGTTTGTGAACAAAACATAATTGTAAAAGGTTTTAATCGGTATAATCTTGTGAATGTTTTAAATTTTGTATGGGTGTTACAAGGAAGCACCGTGATTCTATGTGATAACTGCTCTGCCATTAAGTTGTCGAAAAATCTAGTCTTACATCGTAGGAGTAAACACATAGATGTCAGGTTTCACTTCCTAAGAGATCTGGCTAAGGAAGGAGTGGTGGAGTTGCACCAGTGTGGAACACAAGATCAAGCTGCTGACATAATGACTAAAGCTTTGGGTCTAGAGACGTACATTTCAGAGGATGAGAAGGAAGCTGGGAGTCTGCAGCCCGTCTGAGTTTGAGGAGCAATGAAGGTAACTTGACGTTGTGAAATGGAACTCATATTGGATGGAGTTCAGTTCAGGGGAGGATATGTTGGAACCAAATTCTTATGGCACAAAAATTAGTGAGAGGTGCCCAAAACCAGTTTGAATTTGAGTATATTTGTCTTTTAGTCAAAACTGCGTCGTTTGTAGTTTGTCTGTCTGAGTCCTTTATGTTTCAATTTGTTACAAATAAATCCTGAACAGATAGGTTTGGTTGCTCAGAGTTTGTAGCTGGTTAGTTGATTGAGAGAGTTGGATTTCAGCGTTGTGGATGTTAGTGTCGTTGTTAGTGGCTCGAGTCCTATGGGTTACATCAACATATTTATATTCTTGCTTTGATTTATATAAAAATCGTCAGATTGCCCGACTTTGTGATTCTACAGCTCCACAAGGTTCTCAGATCAGCCTAGACATGGCAGGGGATTCTAGTAGGTCGCTCTCTCCTAAAATTCGAATCTTGTTGGGAGATTGGTTAGGGGGATCCGATCTATATCACTAGTGATCTTGGCTTCTGGTGATCCCTTCATCTTGACCTGTGTTGCTATCACATGTCATTTTGCCGGCCCCATTCATCGATTCGCCGTTCCGAGTCATTCCCGAGGGAGTCCATCTCCTATCGGTAGAGTATTTGAGTCGATCGAGCGAGAAGGATACCCAACATTGATCCAAAGGATGGACCTAGGACGATTCAACCCAAGAGAGCTCCAAACCTTGTAAATAGCTAGGTTAGTGGTTAGTTTAGGTTTATTATTTCACTATCCTAGGTTGGCTAGATAACGAATCCTAAATCGAAGTAAGGTAAGCCTAGATCCTCGTGGTATGATAAATTATTATTACTTGCTTGCCCTATGATACACTCGGTCGGCGATTATACTTGGTTGTCGATCGGGATGTTGTAGTTGTAACGAGTCAAATTTTTGGCGTCGTTGCCGAGGAACCATTCTAGGTTATTTGAAAAAGGCTTCTGTCTCTAGAAACTCACCCTCTTCTCTTGGGTTTAAGAACCCTAGGTCTAGGTTTTGGTTTGTTGTTGATGTATGTGACAAATTCCATGTTTGATTGATGATTTTACTTATTTGATGGATGTTTTCATGAATGGCATGAGTTGGGTTTCCATTTTCATGGAGTGAGAAAATCCCTTAGAGCCCATTATTGGCGTCTTTGGGTCACTCCTCATCCTATATCGTTTGGGTGATCCCCGAGGGAGTCGATTCCATCAATCTCCTACGATATAGGGTTGCCCTAGGTTGAATAGAGCACACCCCATTCATCGATTCGCTGTTCTGGGTCATTCTCGAGGGAGTCTATCTCCTAACGGTAGAGTATCTGAGTCGATCGAGCTAGGAGGATACCCAACATCGATCCAAAGGACGGACGTAGGACGGTTCAACCCAAGAGAGCTCCAAACCTTGTAAATATCTAGGTTAGTGGTTAGTTTAGGTTGGTAAGTTTAGTTTTATTAATCAATATCCTAGGTTGGTTAGATAACGAACCCTTAAACGAAGTAAGGTAAGCCTAGATCCCCGTGGCACGATAAATTATTATTGGTTGCTTGCCCTATGCTACACCCGGTCGGCGGTTATACTTGGCCGTCGATCGGGATGTTGTAGTTGGAACGAGTCAAGAAGTTTCAGAACATGGGGTTTGCAAAGTGGAAACGGGAAGAAATGGGGTGAAGAAGGAAGAGACAATGTCAGTGGTGTGGCGATGAAGGAGAAACATAACACAAAGTGGTTATTACCCAAAAATTTGTTATGTAAGTTTGCCATTATATCAAAATATACGTATATGTATTATGTTTTGTGATAATGACTATTTATTAGCCAAACTTTTTTTGTATTCTTTTTTATTAGCTAGACTTATCGAAATACTAAGAATTAGCCAAATGTTAACTTTCAGTTCACAATTTTGTTAGTAATATTGACTTGACAACATGATACTGACTTGGAAGAGACACACGAAGGTAAACATTCCAAATTTTTTTAGTATTTTAACTAGGAAAAGAGTTACTAATTTATTAACGATAACGTAAAAATGGCTAATATTTTGATGCATTACGAAAGATTTGACTAATTAATAGCATTTTAATAGGTTTGGATAATATAAAATATTTTCAAAAATTTTTGTATAAAAAGTAGACACTACTTTTTTTTTTGCAAAATAATAGTACAATAATTCATATGTGGTACCTACCATTTAGTTAGTGGATGAAAATTGTGATAGTGCAACCATTATTCAATTTATATGGTTTAGTTGCACCCGAAATTCGAATTAAAGATTCATTCGCAACAAAACAAATAGTTAGTTATATGATATACTTAAATAGTAAGTGGTGCATTTAACCAATGATGTTAAATGCGCGATTCTACCTATAAGCGAAAAATGGGTAAAATCGTAAAACGTAGAACCAAAGCATAAAAGCGTAAGTTTTTGACGCACCCTCTAAAATAAGTAAAATATGTTAAGTACAACATATAGTATGTAGAATGTGAGTGTGTAGATTTTAGATAAGTGAATAACTACATGAAATTCATTATTAAAATGTAATATCTAACACATAAACTAATTTGTGTTGACTCAAAATTAGAGAAAATTCATAATATCTTAATAATAATCTCATAAACGTAGATCGTAACCCGTAAACGAGCTTGAGAATCCAAATTCTCATAAGCTGGTTTGAGTTTACTTAATTACATACGATCAATTACCCATAAAATTTATCGAAACCCATGTAAGAGCCACAGGTGAAGATTAAGGGAGAAGACTGATAGAAGGTCAGCGACTGTTGAGAATACCATTAGGTGTATTTTCAACCTAATGTGAAGCCCATATCTCGACACTAGTTGTAAAACGAGTGATGAATCATGTTTTTATTTTTTTTATTTTTGCTAATATGTCTCCAAAATTATATCATTATGGGCCAATTAGCACATTTTTATGAGATGATCAAAATCGTATAAAAACGCTTCAGAATCGCGATTTTACCGATTTTAAGCGATTTTACCGATTTTGCCCAAGTTTTTACCAGTTTTTGTGACTAAGCAACTTTAGGTAGAAACCGAGACGTTTTGATGGCCTGGATACGTAAAAACGTAAGTTTTACGTTTTTACGTTTTAATGCGCGATTTTGACTGCACTGCATTTAACAAGGTCTTTGCCAGAAATGGATCGCTGCACGATTAAACGGCGTCGTGCGATATCCTGGACAATTGAACGGTCTGGATCAGCTGGGCCCCACAGATGGACTTTCCAGATCACAAGTTCACACACATACTCTCTCTCCATTTCCCCTTCTTTCAAAAGTCCAATAAGCGGAGGAGCGGCCAAGCGAGCCAACCCGACTTCTCGTCGGTTTTCTCCGGAAGAAACGCATAACCGCCGGCGGTGCGAAGACGGTGGAAGGAAGACAGGCACTCAGCGAGTCAACTTGTTAGCGAGTGATTGAGCAAGAGAGAGGCAACATAGAGCAGCAATGGCGGAAAAGGAATGTGAACTGGGCGACGAGCAGAAGAAAGAGATCGCCAAATGGTTCCTCCTAAACGCTCCTTCCGGCGAAATCCAGTACATCGCCAAAGGTCTCCGTGCCACTTCGTTTTACATATGCACGCTTACTTCTCCTTCTTCGTCTTTTTCTTCTTTTTCCGCATTGCGTCGATGTTTCAGTTTTCCAGATCGAGTCTCGTGATTCCTTTGCATTCTTTTCGTCGCCGTGCAGATTTGAGATCGGTGTTGAACGACGACAAAGTGTATGATGAAGCGACCTCGGAGGCGTTCCCTCTCTACAACAAATTTCACTTGATTTGCCTCGAACTTCCCTGCCGGAGCGGCGACGTAAGTTCACGTTTCCCCTCCCCTAACTTCCAGTTTCTTGGGCGTTGAACGACTTTCGGATTGTCTTAAACTATACCGTTCCTGATCTTGGTTCACTGTAATTGGAAACGGGGTTTTTTTTCTGTTGTCTTTTAACTGAAGATGGTTTGGATTATTAGGTCTTGATTACGCCATACAATGAGCTCGAGGAGAATCAGTTTATCGAGCCTCGTACTGCACAGATTGTCACAATTGATCATGTCAAGCAAGTAAGCTTCCTCTCTAAGAATGTATTGATGTTCGTTTAATGGCTGGTATTCTGAATTCAATGCAATTTCTTTGAAGACATTAGACATGAATGAATGAATGCATTGTTGGTTATGCAATTTCTAGTTATGAACTTTGTCTACCTCCTAGGCCCTGCTGTTTTTGTTGGTTGCCCATCTTGTATATCATGATGTGCTAAATGGATTCAGGCTTGTACAGAGGCGAGACCTGCAGCCGACGAGGAACTAGCATCGCCTTATGTTGAGGAATTCCGGTACGATTTGTTTGACTTTGGTGAGACTATTTACTTAACGATTGCTTAGAATTGTAACTTTGATTTGAAAGATTATAAAGATTGACAATGAATGCATTATAGCATAAATAGTTGCAGACTGTGTAGGGTTCCTTTTCCTATTAGAATTGAATGTATTTAGTGTATGTCTTAGTTGAGACTTCTCGAAAAGATGGCTTAGAATGGTAACTTTGACTCGAAAGATGAGAAAGAATAATAGCGAATGTTTTATAATGCAGATGCATGGCGTGTCGGGATCTTTCGTATCCGAATTGATTATATTCTCAGTGTATGGCTTAGAATGAGAATTTACTTAATGATGGCTTATAATGGTAGTTTATGCCTGAAAATATTAGAATAAAAGTAACTAACAAGTGAATTAGTACCCAAAATACTTGCAGAATCAGTCAAGAGTCTTTTCGTTTCATAATTCAGTAGTTTCTTAGTGTTTATGCATGACCTTTGCTATTATGGGAATGTCAGTTGTGCACTTGACGCGGAAATACTGAAATATGTGGAAGACGCTTATCCAAAAGGTGTCTGCTCTGTCTACTGTGTTGATGGGAAAGATGCTGAGGGACCCGGATGTAATTTTGAGTTTGCCGTGGTCATAGCAGCTGTAAGAAACAGCCCAAAGAATTTTTGGTTAGTGGAGCTAGCCAAACTTTTAGTTGTTTAGCTTTTCGTTCTTCAGCAATTTCTTTTATTGGATTAGTTTGATCATACAGCTGATTCTTAACCTGTAGCTTCAAGTAGTTACTTCTCCGTCTTAAGTCTTAACCACCTCTGTTTCAATATTTTATAGCAATGGAAGTTGGAGGTCAGTGTGGAACATAAAGTTCAAAGATGATTTACAAGTACTGGAAATCAAAGGAAAATTGCAGGTACCATTTAGCAATAGCTATTGTTGTGTCTTTATAGCAAATCTGTGTTTGTTGTCATAAGGAATTTATTACCTGAACTGAATCTCAATGGTTTCTATTTTTCTCGTGTGCATGTTTTATCTTGCAGGTGGATGCCCATTATTTTGAAGAGGGAAATGTTCAGCTGGATGCAGAACAAGAATTCCAAGATGGAACAATTTTTCAGGTTGATAGAAGTAGACAGAATTCCCCCCCCCCAGTTTCGTACTTTGTTGTTTATCCAGATTGTAGGGACATTCATATTCATAAATCATGTTCTGGGAGTGAGTTCCTACTTATCATCATTGGTAATGTGGTAACTTGGGTGACTGGAATCGGATTCTGGTTTAGGTAGCATAGCACTTATGTGCCTTATTTTGTTCTGGTTTAGGAGTTAGGCTCTATGTGGACTTCTGCTTCACATGGCTAGATGCTTAACCTCCCAAAATTGTGCTTCAGGCACCAGATGATTGTGCAATTTCGATAGCCAATACAATTCGTCACCACGAGACAGAGTACATGGGGTCTCTTGAGGTTCTAACTTATATCCTTTTGGTTTGGTTTTCTTGAAAGACTTTAAATGAAGATTTCAAGCTATTTGCTTACTAAATCGTGTCTTTCTTGCAGGCATCATACTCGAATTTGCCAGACACGACTTTCAAGGTACCCACATCATGTCCTCCAGACATTCTACAGTCTGCACTTTTACTCGATCCAAAATTGTGCTCATTTCAGTGAAATTTTCATGTTCATTTATGGTCGCAGGATCTAAGGAGGAAGCTTCCAGTTACAAGGACTCTCTTCCCGTGGCACAACACCTTACAGTTCAGTCTGACAAGAGACATCCAGAAGGAACTTGGAATTGGGAAGTGAACATCCAGAACGTGAGACATGTATGTCGGGTACCTGTGGATGACCATGAACGATAGTTATTTGGATAACCCCCCTGCGACTTCAAAGGCGCTGTGTTTACTTCGTGCGCCCCTTTGTCATTGCATACTGTTGACGTTCTGTCATTGCTTACCCTCAGTTTTGGTGTTGTACCATCACACTTTTGACAGGCTTGTGTATAGTTCAATATATCCGTCTATATGTTGTGAGAAACCTTATGTTAGTTCTGCCCCCCTGAATGATATGAGTCACTGTGCTGCTGAAGTTTGTTGCTCGCTGTTTTCGTGTTTGTTTTTGGATTCCCCCTCTTTGATCAATCTATTTTGAATCCATTTCGGTCTCGCATTGGAAGATGCCGTAAAATTCATGCAGTATTGACTGAGGGATGGATGAATTCTAGTGATGTAGTGAATTATAGAATCCACTTTCTGGGTATGTTTAATCATGGAGTGCAGAAGAGTTACCATTTTAATCAAATTGGTACTATAAACCACAAGCCTTTAAAGAAACCTGGTGATTGTTGACTTCATGTACCATACAAGCAAAGTAGGTATCTAAACCAGCAGCATTGAGGAACAATACCAGTTTACAGAGCTTAATGAAACAAGTACATTAAGGATCAATTACATAAATCGCTGGAAACTTGGAAGTGAATGGATTAACGGGTTTTAGTTTTGTGTTTTGATGGCAAGTAAAAATAAAATTTGCAACGTAATTACCCTAATACTCGGTTAGAAAAATTTCCATTGCCGGGAATCGAACCCGGGTCTCCTGGGTGAAAGCCAGATATCCTAACCGCTGGACGACAATGGAAGGTTTTGCTATGTTTCAAACCATAAAGAAATCATACCATATTATATCGTTGTTGCCATTGCAGTGATAGCACCATTAGTTCACCTGGCACCTGGGGAGAATCATATACTAGGGTTCCTCCAGTTCTATGTCTCGAAGCTGATGTTATGGCGGCTGATTTGGGTACTGATCGGCTCCGTTCAAGGCCTGCTCATTTCCTTATAACAGTGTGTGAATTCATTCGTTCTCGCCTCCCCCGAACCATAGTAAAATGTTGATTCTTTGTAGGGACTGTTATGTTTCTCTACATTGTTGAGATGATGAATCAAGAGTCTCACTCTCAGCTACAGCTCCTTTTATATACCCTCCAAGAAAGCAAGCTGAACAGCTTTCCTCTTGAATTATCAATGTCATTCTTGTCTGTTCAATAATATTTAGTTCTTGAATCAGAATCCTCTCCTCTCTGGAATGATGAGAGATAGCCAAATCAGAGATTTGTTGAGAAATCGGGCAGCAACCACAAGCAAGAATAGAATGCACAAGACACACGATTTTTACGTGGAAAACCCAAATCGGGAAAAAATCACGGGACCTTTGTCCAAGCCACAACTCCACTAGACTTTGGTGGGATTACAAGTCCTCTCTAGACTAGCTAGAGGATTACAAACACCTCAAGAACACCATTCTTGGATCAACAATCAACCACAATAGCTCTCACCAACATGGTGGTTAACAAGAACAAGAGCAAGACAAAGATAGGTTGAGATATACCAAAAGACAGATTCGTACACCTTTTGTCCAGAAGCTATTCCCGACGAACTAGAGCTCCAAACGACGATCCCTCCGGTCAGATTGTATCCCAGATAATTTCAAATCTACTGTCCAAATTTCAGGACGATCCAATGGTCCAATCTTCCAGAACACTCACTTGAACAGGCTGCCCTGCTGCAGAAACGAAAAACTGCAGCTCTTTCTCTCTTCTCTCTTTTTCCTTATCTCTTCTTTTCTGATTCTCTCTCTAAAAATGAAAGGTTGTCACCTCTTTTCACTTTTTTACTAGACAATAACTCTCTATTTTGAAAATAGAGGATCTTCTAGAAACCAACCAAAACTCAAACTCAAACCGGTTAATTCAACCACCATATGAGTTGGACCAACCCAACAAATCTCCCCCTCCAGCTCATATGGGGGGTAGCACCAAACCTGCTTCATCTCGACAGAAGATATGTTTTCCACTTGGTAGAGACTTGGTCATCATGTCCGAACCATTGTCATCCGTATACACTTTGTTGAGCTCCAACAACTTCTCTTCCAAAACATCACGAATCCAATGATATCGAACATCTATGTGCTTCGACCTTGAGTGGAAAGTAGGATTCTTACAAAGATGGATTGCACTTTGACTATCACAATAGAGCACATACCTCTCTTGCTTGATGCCCAACTCTTGAAGAAACTTCTTCAACCATAACATCTCTTTGCAAGCTTCTGTCACGGCTATGTACTCTGCTTCTGTTGTTGATAATGCAACACATTTTTGTAGTTTAGATTGCCATGAAACTGCAGCACCTGCAAAAGTCATCATGTATCCAGAAGTCGACTTTCTAGAGTCCACATCACCTGCCATGTTAGCATCGGTATATCCATCAAGTATGGTCTTGCCATTACCAAAGCATAGACACACTCTAGAAGTACCTCTCAAGTAGCAAAGAATCCACTTCACTGCTGTCCAATGTTCTTTCCCCGGATTGGAAAGAAACCGACTAACAATCCCAACGGCATGAGCAATATCCGGCCTTGTGCAAACCATGACATACATCAAGCTTCCAACAACTGATGCATTTGGCACATTCTTCATTGCTTCTTTCTCTTCATCACTTGTAGGACAATGCTTCACACTCAACTTGAAATGTCCTCCAAGTGGAGTACTAACCGCCTTAGCCTTGCTCATGTTAAACCGCTCAAGAACTCTTTCAATATACCTTTCTTGAGACAACCAAATTTTTTCATTCCTTCGATCTCTAGAGATTCTCATCCCTAGAATTTGTTTCGCCGGTCCTAAGTCCTTCATGGCAAAGGATTTACTCAACTCCTTTTTCAATCTATCAATCTCTCCAACATTCCGACCCACGATCAACATGTCATCCACGTAAAGCAAGAGAATGATGAAATCATTTTCATCAAAGTATTTCACAAACACACAATGATCGGAGGTAGTTCTTGCATACCCGTTTTTGACCATGAATGAGTCAAATTTCTTGTACCATTGCCTTGGTGCTTGCTTCAACCCATATAAGCTCTTTCTCAATCTGCATACAAGATCTTCTTTGCCTTTAACCTCGAACCCTTCCGGCTGATCCATGTATATATCTCTTCCTCTAAGTCACCATGAAGAAACGCCATCTTCACATCGAGTTGTTCAACTTCTAAGTCCAAACATGCAGCCAACCCAAACACAACTCGGATAGAAGACATCTTCACCACGGGAGAGAAAATTTCTTCAAAGTCAACACCTTTCTTTTGGTTGAAACCCTTCACAACTAGTCGCGCCCTAAACCGAGACTTTGAACTAGTTTCCTCTGTCTTTAACTTGTAGACCCACTTGTTCTTAAGTGATCTTTTTCCTTTGGGTAGTTTCACCAAATCATAGGTGTGATTCTCTTGCAAAGACTTCATCTCTTCTTGCATTGCTTTGTTCCACTCCTCCTTGTCTTCATGAGACATGGCTTCTTGATAATACTCGGGTTATCCCTCGTCAGTTAACAATAGGTACTCATGAGGGGAGTACCAAGTGGAAGCTTTGCGATCTCTTGTTGACTTTCTTGGTTCGGATAGAGGTTGCTCTTCTTCAACCTGTTCTTCTTGCTGCAATTGCTCTTCTCCTTGCACTTCTTGATCTAGTGCACCTTGGGGCTCATCATGCACTACTTCCTCAACATTTTCATGCATTTGGGATGGAGATATAGGGTCCAAATTAACCGGATCAGCTGCTGTATTTTTCCTTCTTTTCACCCCTTTCGACATCTTCACTTGTCTCATCTTCAAGAAAAAGTACATCCCGGCTCCGAATAATTTTCCTTACAATTGGATCCCATAATCTGTATCCAAACTCTTCACGCCCATAGCCCATGAATATACACGGCTTTGCTTTGTCATCAAGCTTTGCTCTCTCATCTTTTGGAACATGAACATAAGCTTTGCAACCAAACACTCGCAAGTGTTCATATGAGACTTCCTTTCCCGTCCAAACTCGTTGAGGCACGTCACCCTCCAAAGGGACCGATGGTGAGAGATTGATTAGATCAACCGCTGTCCGCATTGCTTCTCCCCAAAATGATTTAGGTAGCTTGGCATGTGAGAGCATACACTTGATTCTCTCACAAATTGTTCTATTCATCCTCTCGGCAACACCGTTTTGTTGTGGAGTCTTGGGTACACTTTTCTGCAGTTTAATTCCGTGCAATCTGCAGTAGCTTTCGAATGGACCTCTATACTCTCCCCCGTTATCAGCCCTTACACACTTCAACTTCAGGTCGGTTTCTCTTTCCACTTCAGCATGAAATTGCTTGGAAACATCTAGCACTTGATCCTTCGTTTTCAAAGCATATGTCCACACCTTCCTTGAGTGATCATCGATGAAGGTAACATAATAGCTTGCACCACCAAGAGTTTTATCTCACATAAAACAAACATCGGTGTGAATTAGATCAAGTACCTTACTCCTTCTAGAAGGTGGAAATCTATGAAATGCAACTCTATGAGTTTTTCCGGCTAAGCAATCAACACAAGTTTTAAGAAGAGTACCTTTAACTCCGGGCAAGAGTTGTTTCTTGGAAAATATTTGCAGCCCCTTCTCGCTCAAATGACCGAGTCTCTTATGCCAAAGCTCAATGGAAGAATCTTTCTCGGCAACATTGATTCCTCCCTTGCTATGCTTTGCATTCATCATGTAGAGCGTACTTTCCTTCTTGCCTTTAGCCACCACAAGAGAACCTCTTGAGAGCTTCCATTTTCCTTCTCCAAAGTAGTTGGTATAACCATCATCATCAAGCTTTCCCGTGGATATCAAATTCAGCCTCATGTCAGGAACATGTCTCACATCCTTCAAGACTAGCTTGCAACCCGTGTTGGTCTCTAGATGAATATCACCCATGCCAACAATCTTTGATGCGCCATCATTTCCCATCCTCACACAACCATAGTTACCGTTTGTGTAGGAAGAGAAAAAAATCAACCCGTGAGGTCACATGGAATGAGGCACCCGAGTCAACAACCCATGTACTCTCTTGACAAGCAAGATTAATAAAACCGGCATCACAAACAATGACCACATCACCATCTGTGGCAGCAGCAGTAGTTTCATCTTTTTCTCGGTTTTCCACACCTTTTCCTCTAGCTTGTTCCCGTTTCAAGATTTTGCACTCTCTCTTCATGTGTCCGGGCTGGTTGCAATGATAACATGTGATTTCTCCTCTTGGTCTTGACAATGATTTTGATAACATGTGATTTCAAGGTGACTCAGTCCAATCAACTTGGATTGGAGGAATTGCCGGACAATGTGACAATCGATCTCGATGTGTTTCGTTCTTTCATGAAACACTAGATTTTCCGCAATGTAAATCGCAGATCGATTATCACAAAAGAGATTCACTGGTTGTGGATGTTCAATTCCTAGTTCTTGCAGTAATCACTTCACCCAGACCACCACACATGTAAGCTGAGCCAGAGCCCTGTATTCTGCTTCGGATGATGATCTGGAAACTGTCCCTTGTTTCTTCGATTTCCATATGATCAAAGAAAATCCAAATGTGATGCAATAACCAGTTGTTGACTTCCTGGTGTTAGGACATGAGCCCAATCCGAATCACTATATCCCCTTAGCTTTAGATCAGAAGAAGATGGATAGAAAAGACCTTGGCCAGGAGCATTTTTGAGATATTTCAGAACTCTGTATGCAAGCTGTAAATGTGTAGTTGTAGGAGCAGCTTGATGCTGACATAACTGTTGAACTGCAAATGTAATCTCAGGTCGAGTAATTGTCAAATAATGCAATCGACCAATTATCTTTCTGTAAGCTGTGTGATCCTCCGTAAGAGGTCCATCATCTGCTGATAATCTGGTCTTCATGTCTATTGGTGTGGCAACAGGCTTAGAATCTGCAAATCCTGTGTCTTTCAAAAGATAAGTGCAGTATTACTTTTGGCATATATGAAGACCCTCCCTGGATCGAGCCATCTCTAAACCAAGGAAGTAATGGAGATGGCCAAGATCCCTTAACTTAAATTGACTGCTCAAATGTTGTTTCAAAGCCTGCATACTCACTGTATCATCCCCTGCAATGATTACATCATCTACATAAACCAAGAGAACTGAAATACCAGAGGATGAACGATGAGAAAACATGGAGTAATCATTTGCAGATTGGATGTACCCAAAAGACAGTAGCACTGATGTAAGCTTGGCAAACCATTGCCTAGATGCTTGCTTGAGGCCATAAAGAGACTTCCTTAACTTGCATACATAACCTGGTTTGTTGATTCCAGGAGGCAGTTCCATGTATACATCCTCCTCAAGGTCCCCATTCAGAAAAGCATTGCTAACATCTAACTGTATCATCTGCCAATTCTTAGCTGCTGCAACAGCCAAAAGGGTCTTTACTGAGTTTAACTTGGCAACTGGTGAGTAGGTATCTAGGAAATCAATTCCATAGATTTGTGTAAACCCTTTAGCCACCAGCCTGGCTTTGTGTCTTTCAATTTCTCCATTAGACAAAAACTTAATGGCATACACCCATCTATTCCTATGACTCTCTTGTTAAGTGGTCTGGGGACAATGTCCCATGTTCTGTTGGCTTCCTAAGCTTCTATTTCCACATCCATAGCTTTCTTCCATGCCTCAATCTGAACTACTTCCTCAAAGCTTGCAGGAATATGTGTAGATTCCAGAGCCAGCACATATTTCTTATATCCTGGAGACAGGTTATCATATGACAAGCAAGCAACCAAAGGATATATAGCTTTGACATGTGTGGTTCCTTGAAAGAAGACGACGTCGTAGTTCCCCCAGAAGCAAGTGAGGAGCTGGGAAGAGACGACATCGTTTAACTTAGCATCTTTTTAGTTTTCCATTTTTACTGTACAACTACATGTCTTTCTTAGATTGGTTGGTAGTTTTGTTTTCTGTTTGTTACCGTTCTATAGCTGTATAGGGTGAATTTCTTCCCTTCGTGAAGAAGGAGTTGTAGATGCTGAGTATATATGGAAAGGCCTTGAGCCACATAGGATCCTGGGGGTTCCTTTACAATATTTTGGTATGAATTTCACATGGTATCAAAGCCTGGTTACCAAAACTAGGGGTTTAGACTCAGCAATCCCGCATTCTTCTTCTTGAGAATTTTTCCTTTTGATTCTCGTTTACCTCATCAATGTCGACGGAGGCAGCCTCAGCTATGTCGTCGTCGACGTCGACTGTTGCTTCGGTTCCTATCAACACAGTCACAAACCCTTTCTACATCAACCCAAATGAAGCCTTGAGTTTTCCTATCAAACTTACAGGCACAACCAACTACAATTTATGGAGTAGAACTGTTCGAGTTGCTCTGAAAAGCAAAAACAAGCTTGGGTTCATCACAGGGGCGATTCCCGTCCCAGATCTGACGCACGAAAGCTACCAAGCTTGGGAGCAGAGTAACACAGCAGTCTACTTCATGATTCTTGGGTCTCTGGATCCTAGCCTGGTCAACAGTGTCTCTTCACAAGACAATGCCAAGCTTCTTTGGGATGATTTGAGGCAGAGGTATGGACAGGCAGATAACATTCGCATCAGTGATCTTCAGACTGCTATCTACACTCTGAAGCAAGGTAACAAATCAGTGAACCAGTTCTATTCTGAATTGAAGGGGCATTGGGAAGAATTAGTCCAATTTTTACCAATTCCAGAATGTGTGTGTGGTGAAGAACCTAGAAATAGCGCTGTTCCTTGTGTGACTGAGACCACTGTTAGGAAATATAGGGAGAATGAGTTTGTGACTAGATTCATTACTGGATTGAATGAATCATATGGGAGAGTCAAAACCAATCTCCTTACGATGATTCCACTGCTGGCCATGGAAACTGCTTTCCACTATGCCATTCAACATGAGAGGCAAGTTGGCAAGCCAAGTCAGGACTCTCAAGTGGAATCTGTTGCTTTGTTGGCTGCAAATCAATCAAGAGGAAAAGAGAATGTTAAGGGCAGTCAGGGTACCTTATTCTTTAGATACTGCAAAAAGGATAACCATGTTATTGCAGACTATTTCAAGCTGAAGAGAAAGAATAAGGAGTCTGGGTCTACTTCTGGTTTTGCAGGACAGATCCAAAGCATTGATAATGCTGGGAATGATACAAGAGGAAATCAGTCAAAACCAGAAACTAGATCTATGTCTGAGACAAGGGATGGGGGTTTTACTATTGTGAGACTTTCGAATGAAGATTTGAGTAGACTGTAGAGAATTCTGAATCAATTTGGGTCACCAAGTCCACCCACATCTCCTGGCTCACTGACTCACTCCTACTGTCACTCTAGAAAATGGCCAAGTGAAACCACTTCCTAAGGCGTAGTATAGCGGGTTTGGGTTTAAATGTCAACCCGGGTCCTAGATTTGATGACTACTCAGTGTATTCTTGTTATCTAGCAATGAAACTTTAGTGCAGGTCTAAACTAACAAACAAACAAAGCAAGTAAACGGTTGTTTTCAGGTTAAGAGAGGTCACTCACATATGGTTCCCCCTAGACTGCAGTTAAGCCGGATTGCAATTACCAAGTTCAGTTTCTATGATAGTTATACTGCGGAAGGTACTTAAACAGCCTGAAGTCTCGACTAAAGGTCTTCAGACCCTCTCAATCTGAGTCTCTAGCGGGCGACTAACCTCCACCAGAGTAAACAGATTGAGGCCCTAACGAACAAAACCTCCACTACCGAAGTGAATTCGGTACAGAATAGTGAGTTGGCTCCTCGACTAAAGTCACCAACTCCCTACCTTCAATCAAGGATGCTCTATCAACCTAGGCAGATATTCTCATTCTAGGTTAAAGCAGAAACAACAGGAATTTGATCAGGATTCATGCCATTCAATCATTCAAACCTCAATTGAATATAATCAAATCATAGAATCAGTACTTGGGTTCATACAATCAAACCTAACATACAAATCTAGGGTTCTCCAAACCCAGATGAATGGGAGAACTACTCCATGGAGAAAGAAGCAAAAGCAGAATCAGACGCGGAAATCATACTGTGAAGAATGGATTTCTGCTCCTGGACGTTGATCGGTACTTCTCCAAGCTCAAGCCAAGCTCCAATGGTGATGAAGATCAAGCTAGGGCACTTGGGAACTCTTGTTCGTCGCTTTCTCTCTCTAGGAATCTCTCTGCCTCTCTAAAACTCGAATCCCCATCTGTTTTGGCTGAAATCTGCTTAAAAGGGCATCACTAGGCAAAACACGGTAGAGGGCACGGCCGTGTTCTGCTCCAGCCCGCTCGTGCCCTTGCCAAGGGTTAATTACACGGCCAGCTTGTTGGGGAAAACACGGGCGTGCTTTTGGTGGACACGGCCGTGTTCTGTCTCAGTCCTGCCCGTGTTTTGAGCTAGTGTTTGCCAAACTCAGATCAAGTCTCGGCAGTAAAAGCACGGCCTAGGAACACGGCCGTGTTCTGATTTAGGTGTGCCCGTGTTTTGGCTCCAGCTCGACCGAATGACTTCCGAATGCCCCGAAACTCGTGCTTAGCCTTTCCTTTGATGCATGGGACCTGAAATATGACAAAGTAGCAAAACCCGGCGTAAAATAGGCCAAAAATACACGACTATGCCCCTCAAACGGATAAGAACTAGGGGTGCAAATACGTGCAATTACATCGTTATCAAATTCCCCCACACTTAACCGTTTGCTTGTCCCCAAGCAAACCAAGTCAGACACAATGTAAGCTCAAAACGTTTCAATCAAGCACGCTTTAGGACATATCATATCGGAACAAAAACGTGGATCATACTGGCTTTCGATCATTAACACATGGACAACCTCAATGACAACCCAGACAACCACCACAGATGTCATCGAATGCAGTAAAATCGAGCAAAGGAAGAGTCTCCCTTCTGTTCACCAACCAACATAGACTTGACTCAACCACTTATTCAAAATAGTCACTTCATGCACAAAGCTCAAGATATCAGAATTAAGACCGAGCAATCTAGGTCCTCACCGGGATAAAGAGTATAGAGAATATGAGAAAATGAATCGCTCACTCTCGACCAGTGGGGTCAGGACAATTTGATGCGAAAAATGCGCATGCTTAATCTTTCAATCCCTTACATCTCTTCACCATGAATGCAGCCTCTAAGTGCTAGAGTTCACATATGGGGTGTCACCACTAACTAATCCGGAGGTCTTAGACACAGGTTCAGATGACTGGGTAGGGTCTCGGACATGGGGAAAAGGCCTTTTAGGTGGTGGAAGTATTCATACAGCAAAAGGTTCCACATATCCAAACCCAACAAACTCACAGTCAATCAAACCAATAACTTTCTTTCTGCTATTCTGCATTACTCAAATTCTTCAGAGCACAAGAGCGAAGGAGGTCACATAGATGCTAGTATTTCTAAGCCAGACTGCTAAGAAGCACTACTAAATGGGCATTATTCAGATTTTTTGTGGTGGCTCTCTTTTGCTTTCATTTTTTTTCTTTGTTTTGCTTTCATTATTTTTCATTTCTTAAGAGAACCACCACCTCTGCACATTTTCAAACACCTGCCCAACTTTTAAGCACTACCTCCAACCCTCACATTACGTTTAGCAGAAACAGCAGAAAACATGTAAAAATCACTCTGTGGAACCTTCTAAAAGATGCAAAAGGGTGACGTTTCATTGAAGACCGAAAGAAAGGAAAACACACGGCTCAAAGGGCTGACTAGGGGGTATGACACACCAGGACAGACAATTTGGTCGTGGGCTAATCCTATGCCTCCATCATCTTAGCTAATGACTACGTGAATGCTGCACATCATGGAAGAGGAAACTATCGCACAAGAAAGAAACGAGCAGGCTCAAGTCTCACATGGCTACCTATATGCTCTATCTCTCGTTCTGATTCCCTGAACTAGATGCATAAATTATTGTCAAAAGCAAGTGATCAAACCAAGTCACATTTGGTAAGCAAACAGTTGAAAAACTGAACCCTACACAATTCTACTGCACATCTCAGTCATCACAATAAGTTGTCTTAGTCACACTCAAGTTGTCATGCATCAAGTCAAAAGCCATTCAATTCAGTAATCACATCCACAGTGTCAATACGATCAAACATCAGGCAAACGGCAGTGCTTGGAGCCCTCAAATCTCGAGATTTGGACAGTGGACTAGGCTCCAAGCACACATATATACGTTCCAATTCATACAAAGAACCCCCCCACACTTAAATGCGACAATGTCCTCAATGGAGCAGAGGGAAGGGGAACGATGTTACCGTGAAAGGAGAATAGGAACGGGGACTGGAAGGCAGACCAGTCCAAAGAAGGAGGCACAGAGCTAAAGACAACAAAAACACACACTGGGTGAAAGAACCGGAGTTTCAGGTCTACAATCCAAGATAAAAAAAAAACGAAACCACAAAACATGGAGTCTCAGTCTGGAACACCAATAAAGCACAGAACCAGCTCTAGAAGGCATCACCACCATCTCCGGTGGGTGGAGGGTACTCATCCTCAAACCCCGGGGACTCCACGAACGGGTAGTGGACCACATTCGGGTCCAAGCCCAAGTAGGACATAATGTAGTGCTGGCCTGACATGAGACGACGCCCTCGGTCCCGCTCACGATCAAGGCGGGTGTGAATGCGCTCCCGGCCGGCCAGGATGCGCTCGTTCTACTGAGCGATCGCCGCCAACTGGTCGGAGATGGGCACCACCACTGGAGGAGGAGACCCTGGAGTAGGAGACCGGGGAGCAGGAGAGGGGCTCGCGGGAGCCTGGTCACGACGAACACTGCGACGGGGAACCCGGCATCCACCAGCGGCGCTCGACTCGGGCTGGTCGCCTGCTGCAGGTAGAGGTGGCTGAGGAAGGCCCGCGATCCAGAGCACACGCCCGTGGCGAGCAACCATGTGCTGGTGGCGGAGGGTTGACTCGCTGAGCGGGGTTGGCCCGCGGACCAACGTCATCCCCATGTAGTCAACCCCGTAGTGGCGGGCCAAGGCGGTAATCACCGGGCCACATACAAGGCTGCGACTCAGGCTGCTGGCGGCTTTGGTGAACGTCCGGGCGAGCACAGAGCCCAGCTGGATGGTGTCCTCAGAACGACCCATCGCATCCATGAACCAGAGTGTTCGGAGTGTGACCCGGTTGGATGAACCTTTGCTGGGTGTGTAGGAAGTGCAGAGCAAGTGGTTGAGGATCCGCCACTCCGGACGGAGGAGAGAGGCCCGCGTCTGGCTGGCAACGTACTCTTCATCCACATTGTTCGGCAGGCAAATGCGCTGAAAGTAAGCCTGGGAAGCGAAGTCGGTGGGATCAGAGAGGTCCAAGCGTAGGGGCGGCCCGCCGGACGCTCGGGAATTGAGACGAAGTGCATTGGCGAACTCCCAGTAACTGAGGGAGTGCTCCACCCCGCCGAGTGTGAATTGAACCGCATCGGCATGGTCGGAGTTCCCCTTCGAGTTGTGGTGGAAGGTGGCGTAGAACTCCCAGACGAGCTCCTTGTGGGTCGGCTCGGCGAGGGTGAGAAGACGCCACCAACCATAGGTGCGAACCACGGCCTTCATCTGTGGCCTGGCATGAAGTTCCTCGAACACCTCAAAATCGAGGTTCAGGTGCTCGGCGATGGTGCGGTTACGGAGGTTCCGCAGCAGATGGCGCTGGGTGATGCTCAGCTGGTCGAGATAAACCTCCATGATCCTGCAAAACACAAAGAAGTACAAAGGGTACACAAGCAAACTGGGTCAATGTTAGGCCAAAACCACACCGGGAGCCCTCATATCGAAAGATATGGACAGTGGACTAGACTCCCGGCGAAACAAGCATACCCATCACACGAGAATTACACCACAGAACACACCGGGGGCCCTCAAATCGAGCGATTCGGACAGTGGACTAGGCCCCCGGCGAAACAAGCATACCAAAACCGTACCAAATAAGCACCAATCGATCCACCACACAAAAACCACACTAGCCCGCATACAATGCAACATGCAAATGGTAGGCCGAATGACTGAAATCCCGAGGCAAAAATAGAACAACCAAATAGCGTCATCGGCCTACCCAATCATCCCCACACCATTCCACAATCACAAGTTCTTCACCTAACTCTAGGTATCGATTCTCCATTAAATAAAAGAAAAGACAAGGAGAACACACCTGGAGACGCAACGAGAGACCACGAGAGAGGTGAAGAAAGTGGAAAAAGGCACCCTAAGTCGCCGGAAAACACACCAGAGACTCGCCGGAGAACTCACCGCCGGCAACCCAACCTTGTCCAAACAAGCCCAAATCTTTGGGGAATGTGCTCCTCGACGCCAGGAGCGTGGGGTCATTCGCGGTTTATGATTTGGAGGTCGGGAGAGAGAGTTATGGCCGGAAAATCGAAGGAGAAGGTGAAGGGGCCGAGTTTCCGGCGAGACGGGTGGCTGGGATTTTGAAAAAAATGAGTCTGGTGGGTGGGGGGAAGGAAAATCGACTTTTATAGGGGGGGCAGCAAAACACGGGCGGGCTGGAACACGGCCGTGTTCGGCCTGTTCCGCGCCCGTGTTTTTACTGCCGAGGCCGTGTTTCAGACCTTTGAAAACACGGGCGGGCTGGGGCCAAAACACGGCCGTGTTTTGGAAGCCCAGCGCCTGTGTTTTTACTGTCGCGGCCAAATTCCAAAACACGGGCGGGCAGGGGGAAAACACGGCCGTGTTTTGGTCCCCTGGCGCCCGTGTTTTTACTGCCGAGCCCAAAATGCCTTTTTTCAAAATTTCAATCTCAAACCACCAAGACTCATTCGTGCCCCGGCTCTAAAACCACCAAGACTCAAAGACTCAAAAACCGACAAAAAGAAATAAATAAATAAAAACAAAGGGTAGAAATGCAAACCGTGATGGGGTTGCCTCCCCACAAGCGCTTCTTTACCGTCTTTTAGCAGGACACCCATGGCGGAACTAAGGGTCCGCGAAGTCCACTGCCAACTCCGCACGTTCGACCTCGCCTCCCAATTACAGTTTGAGGCGATGGCCATTCACTTTAAATGGTTCAGTCTGCGGGTTGGCAATCTCGATCGTGCCATACGGGAACACCTGGGTGACCGTGAACGGTCCAGACCACTGAGAATAGAGTTTTCCGGGAAAGAACTTCAGGCGAGAGTTATAAACGAGAACTCGATCACCAACCTGGAACTCTTTCAGACCCCGCAACCGTGCATCGTGCAGGCGCTTAGTGCGCTCCTTGTACAGCTTGGTGTTCTCATAGGCGTGATAACGCCACTCCTCCAGCTCCAGCATCTGCATTTTTCGCTCAACACCTGCAACACTAACATCCAAGTTTAGCAACTTAAGGGCCCAGAAGGCCTTGTGCTCTAGCTCCTCGGGCATATGGCATGCCTTTCCATAGACAAGCCGGTACGGTGAGGTACCAATGGGCGTCTTGTAGGCAGTGCGGTATGCCCATAGAGCATCATCGAGCTTGGTGGACCAATCCTTGCGGGATAGATTCACCGTCTTCTCCAGGATACACTTGAGCTCCCGGTTCGTCAGCTCGGCCTGACCACTTGTTTGAGGATGGTAGGCCACGGACACCTTATGAGTTACACCATAGCGAGACAACAATTTATTGAACTGACCCTGGAAATGGGTGCCTCGGTCGCTTATGATGGCTCTAGGTGTCCCGAACTGGGAGAATAGCTGCTTCATAAAACCACAAACACGTCTAGCATCATTAGTGGGCAAAGCTTGCGCCTCAGCCCACCTAGAGACGTAGTCAACAGCAACAAGGATATAGGTATTACCAAAAGATGGAGGGAAGGGGCCCATGAAGTTGATACCCCAGACATAAAAAATCTCACAAGTTATAAACACATTATGGGGCATCTCATCATGGGCAGAGATGTTACCTGACCTCTGGCATCGGTCGCACCTGCGTGCGAAGGCGTCTGCGTCCTTGAAGAGCGTGGGCCAGTAAAAGCCCGATTGGAGCACCTTCCTCGCCGGGCGGTTTCCTCCGTGGTGACCACAGTAGGTCCTTCATGACAGTGAGATAGAA